GTATATAATATATATACACACATATAAGAAATTTTACCAGAAATGTGCATTGAAAACTATTTTAGGGAAGGAGAGACTACGTACGATGTGGAGGACGCTCAATCATTGCGAATCAAATTGGCAAAGTTGGGAGAAAATATAGATGCAACCAGCAAAAGGATTCTCATCCTCGGCGTGAAGAAAAATACGGAAGATCCACAGGAGATACAGGGACAAGAATTGCGTCTATATCAGATGGTTAGAACATCGGCAATGATATTTTTAAAGGAAGAGTTATTAACTCTGCAACCTTTGTCCTCGGCAGAAGAATATGCAATTTTACAAGAAGAACGCCAAAAAAGAATAGAAGCCCGAACAGCATACGAGCGACAATCGGAAGAAGAGCAACGAGAGAAGTTGAGAGAACAGCGCAAAAGAGATACGCGAAATTTAGATAACAGTCCTTCTATGAAAATCAACCAGGTAGTATATACTAACAAAGCATGTAACAGAATTAATAATTGGAGGAATTTAATTCCAAATCATGCTAAATCAGAAAAATCTAATATCTAATTTGATTTTTATATATTTTATACTTTTAGCTTTCTTATGTGTTCAATATATACTATATATATATATATATATATATAGTATATATTGAACACATAAGAATATATATATATATATTATAATCAACATTTTTCAAGATACAAGAGATATACATTTTTTAAATTATTGTTTCTTAAAAAAGAGAAGATTGAGTTTGCATGGTTCCGGAATTCTAATTGACTGATTAATTGATGATATAACCGATTTAAAAATTTCATACCGGCATTTAAAAAAATTTTTTAGGCACCGACGATTGTGACTCAGTCTCAAGGTTGGGGTCCATCTAATGTCACATCCATCATATCTTCCTCCATGGATCCAATAATTGAACAAATGAGTAATCTTCGCGCGTACATCAAGCAAGCCCGCGCCGATTGCAAGTATGACGAGGTTGCGACACTAGAAAACAATCTTCGAGAGCTTCAAAGTGCCTACTTTGCTATGAAACAGAATAATAGCAGCGATGGATAGGTATACGAACAGCACACTGCTTACATTTCAGAACACAAAGTGTTGAACTCCTCTTTATAGTAAAAGTGTATTTCCTATTAATTTAATAAATCTCTTGTATCATATATAAAATCTTTATATACACATTATGTAGAGTAAGCTATACAAACACACATGAATGCATAGATAATGAAATATACATTGAGATAGCCTAAAAGATTCAATGAATGTATAAAAGCCACAAATTACCGTTTTATGTGTATTTTAGACATTAAATTTTTTGATATCTATTTGTTATTTATTTTTTGCTCGGATTTGTTTGCGATTTAATTAAATCATAAAAGATCTTTCATTTTCCGATCGAACATTTTCCTTGAAATTGCGAAAATGTCTTTGTTATCAAGTTGTTACGAATACATTTTTGCAAACAATATTTATAAAAATGCAACAGAATTAACTCATTACATTTTTTATTGATACAAAAAATACAATTTATTTGAGTGGAATAAATCTTGAAGAATGTGTAGCACCGATACCAGGCCTACCATGTTTAACAGGTTTGTATGTAACAGAAAATTCTCCCAGATAATGGCCGATCATTTCTGGTTTAATTTCAACTTGGTTGAAAGTTTTACCATTGTACACACCAACAATCGAGCCAACCATTTCTGGAACAATGATCATATTACGCAAATGAGTTTTCACTATCTCAGGTTTTTCATTAGGCGGTGTTTCTTTCTTCGCCTTGCGCAGCTTTTTGACAAGTGCCATAGATTTCCTTTTCAAGCCATGAGAAAAGCGTCTACGTGCTCTTGCATGCATCAAATCCATCAACTGCTCACTGGAAAACGATTATTAATTGATAAAAAAGTCTTTTTTTTTCCCCTTATGCTATATTCAATCATTCTTTGTATGATTTACACATTTTATTTTGAAAATATAAGTCACAGAGACATGGTAAATTAAATAAATCTTGTTTAACTTGAAATTTTATGGGAAAGAAATATATAAAATATATAGATTATAATTCCTTGTAAAGTTAAATTAATTGAAAGTGAATTGTTAGGTTATGTTGTTAAGGAAACAATTCCCGGTGCATCTTACTTTGGCATATCCAGCAGTTGATCGAGGTCCACCCCTCGGAAGGTGAACTTCCTGAAGGTCCTCTTCTTCTTCTGAGTTTCATCTGCCTATGAAAGATAAACAGAAAGGAGAAGTTAAATATTCGGCTACCATAGACAAAGCACCTACCAAATATATATATTATATCGCACATTAATATCGTTTTACTAATATAAACGAATAACTAAAGCAAATGTATAACTAATGCAATTTAGTTTGGCGTAATAGATGTACGAGAATTTCTCAGATTTAATATTAAAATTTCGGAAACTTACTTCGGCCATGTTTTCACGTTCTGAACGTTCTATAGAAAGAATAAGATGAAAGATGGAAGATGGAAGCAATGGCCGCGTTCAGCAGAGAAAGCGCTCAGTTATCGTCTTGTCAACACTTGACGTTGATTCGTTGGTTCTAAAAGTAAGAACCAATCACATTCGATTGCTACTAAGCGGTTTTCTCTGCTGAACGCGACCAATGTTGTTAGGCGACGATTTTTTCGCGCATATGCATGGTTGCGTTCGGAAACATCACCCGTATGCACACGAGGATTGCTCTATCTTTGTTATTTATTAAAAGTTGAACAGAGATGAACGATGCTCGTGAGCATCCGGGGATGTTTCTGAACGCAGCCCATCAAATGCAGTGAAACTGATATGCGCATGCGCGAAAAAATTGATCAAACTGGATGGGAACCAATAAAATTAAAGTAGTAGCTTGAGTCATAGATTATAAGTCGACAAAAGATGAAACACCTATTTGTTCACGTTTTGATTGGACATAGAACTTTTCGATTGGTCAATCGCGCATGGTTTAGTGAAAAACTCTAAGCACCAGCAGAGACGAGATTTTTAAAAATATCAAAAATATAATTCACTATAATTATGATATAATCACGTAATGGTACTTCTCGTCCAATAGATGAAAATTTATAAAAAAAAAAAAAAAGAAAAAAATACTATTCTCTATTCTGTGAAATGAAAAATATAAATCCACATTGAGTGTTTCTTGATACAGCTTGTATTCTATATAAAACACACACACACACACACATTTTCATATAAAAAGACAATATAATATAATTTCATTAACTTACATTTCACATACACACGTGCGCGTGCGAGATTTAAGTTGCATACATAAGCATTTTTAAAATGTACACAATTTATATCAGCGATAACCACATTTATTTATTAGCCGATTGAGTTGGAGTTAAGAGATAAAAATAAGAAGTTACAATCACCTTATTTACAATCTATCATGATTTGGAATATATGCAGTATTCATGAGAATATACAATAAAATATGTATGTTTATGAATATAATAAACTATTTCCATGTGGATCCTCTCTCCAACACCAAGTTTCTAATGCATACATATTGCTAAAGTAAAACTTTTCTCCAACAAATTGGATTTATTTGTCTATATTAAGCCGTCTCACCACCACTCTAGCACCTTCTGTAATGTCTTGAATAAATTTTGACATTTCTATGCGTACTTTGCCGTTTCTAATATTATCGGGATTATTCAAAGATCTTTGTCTTTGCCTAAGACACCTTTGCCGAATGGCATTGTCTTTGTTACGTGCATGCAACAAGTCATAGTAAAAGTCTTCTGTAATGTCTTGTAATTTTCTTGGCAAACCGTTCTTCGACGACGAATTTCTTCGTGAAGTGCGATCACTTTCGTTTTTTTTTTCTTTTGTATTCTTCACACATACATCTTCATTAGTCTCTAGAGTATCTTTATTGATTGTTATGCAAGATTCATTCTTGTAGCTTTTTATTTCTTCAGAATCAATTTTAAATTCGACAGACAAATTACTTTTTATATTGGAATTTATATTCTTATCTATGAATGAGATAGCTGTCTCGGAAGCCGCATTCTCTGTCAATATGGTATACTGTGTTTTTTGTTCATGTTGTAGTATCTCGTTATTGGATGTCGAAGGTCTGCGCGTTTTACACGTGTGTTGTATAACCTTTTGCAGAGCCAATGGCATTTGTTCGATGGTAATTGCCTTGTCTGAAACTATTCTTGGACCATTTGTCTCTTGTCGAAACAATTTGGTCGAACCAGACTCTTCAGAATTTATAAAATTTTCCTTCTTTGTAAACATCTTCCTTGGACTTGATAAAGAGGATGATAGCGAAGAATTATAAAATCTTTTCACAGACATTTCATGCTTGCTCGTTTCTTCAATATCTGTATTATCTGTCAGTAAGTCTCTATTTTGCAGTCCTGCATTCTTTTTCTCAGATGAAAATAATATAGGTTGAAAAACTTGAGGACTAAAATCTTTCCTTTGCTCTTTTACCGTTTCGATATTGTTTCTATCCTCTCTATTATGTTCATCATCTTGTTGTTCCATTAATTGCTCGCTTCTTTCTGTTATCATTTCTCTTGTTAAACAACCATTATTATTTTTAATACTAGAGGACGTACATTTACGCTGCCCTTGAGATTCACATGGATTTAAATAATCTATAACATTGTGTTTGTCATAACTTGTAGGAATATTTAATTTATCCATTTTGTCATCTATACTATTAACATCTAAATTATATACAGGACTGTCAGGAAAAATATTAAACGACGATAAGCATGTGTTATTACAAATTGCATGGCAAATAGTTTTATCTTGCTGGTCTTTATTATGCTCAAGCGGTGAGTCAATCATTGTTACCAAATTTTCAAGTCGCAATAGACTTGAATTTAACAAACACTTCTCTCCAGCTTTTGTCTCAACTTTCTCAGAATTCTCTAATACTTCATCCATTTCCAGTTTAGTTTTTTGTTCAATGACAGCTACACTGTCCTGATCTTGTCGTATAGTGAACATTAAGCCTTCCATTACTAAATCGGTAATATTAGACGAACGCAAAACCTTGTCGTCGGATATAGTTTTTCTCTCGGATTCCCTGCTTTTTTGTTTACGTATTTTGTAAGACTTATTACACGTATTGTTTACTGATAATTGATTGTCAGTACTAATCGAGATTGTAGTATGTTGCTTGTAATTTTTTTGAGATTTTAAATCTGTTATCTCATTACAATGTTCTTTCAATTTTGTGTGTTTAGACTCATTGTTATTTCTTTTCGTCACTTCTAGAATGGAGTGTTCATTTATATTGTTTATCTCAGTTGGAGAATCTCTTTGCATTGGCTGATTGATAGCTGAGAATGGAGTATTTGATCTCTTTTTATATTGTACTTCTTTCTCAATAAAATACTGATCTGGTACATTATCAGAGTTTACAATAGTCTCACTGATCGTCTTTCCACGGTCATCTAAAATATCTTTATTATTTAAAGAGCAAATATTTTTTTCCATTGAATTTTCATAAAAACCGAATCCATTTGATAATGTCCATTTATCAACATCATCTTTTATCATTCCTGATTTAAGTGAAGAAAATATTTTGTTTTTCCGGATATTTTGTATTTCTTGATTTGGTTTTTGTATTACTATTGATTTCGTTTCTTTATTTCTATCATCTATCTTTTCAATAGGAATTTTATCCATCTTCTTTGTTGCTCTTAAGGATTGTTTTCTTATATGATCAACAGAATGTTGATCCACCTTTCTTCCACATTTTCTAATATTACAGTTAGTAGATTTATTTTCGTTTATGTTATCTTGAAATTCTGTATTAATAAAATGCACTTCAGCTGCAGTTTGTGCACTTTTAATTGTCGGATTTAAACTTTCATCAAAATGTTCAGAATTCTTCAAAATGTCATCTTGAAAACCGGAAACTTTTGTTTCTGATGTTTTGTTGAATGTGTCCTCAATTGCACTATATTTTGAAATTTGATCTTCCTTGTTTTGATATATTGCAGTCTTTTTTGGAGACACTTTGTCTGTGGTATATATCATAGTTTTAGTAATTTTCTCTTTGGTATCCAAGGAAACATTTAAATCTTTAAATGTAGTACCTGCATCAGCTTCTTTAACAATAGGATATTTTAAGCTGAACAATGAATGTTCCGAGGAAGGATAGATCCTTATAGTTAATACAAATGCATGTGAAAATGTTGCAGCATTAGTTCGTTGCTGGAACTTCAGTATTGCAAACATTTTATCTTGGCGGGTCCAAGATGTACAATCTGTATTTTAGTGTGTCAGAATGAAGGAAATTACAATTTATAATTGTAGCCTTGCTTATTGAAAAAGAGTACTAGTAATAATCAAAAAGGATACTGTAAGTGACAAGAAGATGTGGCGTGCCGAACTGTTGACCTTGACTTGGATGACATTTTATGATTCTTCTAACAATTTTTAATAATTCTCGGCCATACGAAAATTGCATAGTATTCCTGAAAAAATGTATAAATGGAATTTCCAAAACGGAGTGATAACATCATCATCTTACTTCACTGAACGGTGATATTTAAAGATAAACTTGTATATGTTCTTCTTATGACATAGCCAGTAAGAACCAGGAATGGTTAAGAGACTCTCCTTCTCTTGGTTGAGCCAATCAAATTGGCTAAGCGTCCGTACATATATTCCAGGCATTTTCTTTCAGGTAGTAAATCTTGAAACAATGGAACTAATCTTCTTGAATTCTGTCTATCAGCTGATTCTTTTACAATAAATGTAAGATAATAAAGCACTCTTTGCTGAAATAATTTATTTATAAGCCTAAATTGTTTTGTTTTGGTTTTGTAGACAAATAAAAATAAACATGAACTTACTCCTTTTATAACTTCATTAATAAATATATCTTCTACTGTATCCCATGGCAAGAATTCTATAGATGTAAAAATGCCAAACTCTCTTCTACTTTTAATATGTATACCTACTGATTTTACAACCAACAATGTATCTGTAAAATAATATATATGTGAACAATCCTATATTTTATAAAGTAAATCTCTCTCTATTAAAAATGTCATTTTATAAAAAAATTACCCTGCCTTGCAGAAGCGAAAAATGAATTATATTGCGTCAAAATGCACCCTATTATAATGAAAGGAATTAAAGTTTCAGGTACAATCAATATATAGAGAGCTGCACAAAAAAATAAAACTAAACACAAATTGACATTAAAATATTTGTCCCTTCGCAATGAAAAATGTATAATATTGTCAGCACTCGACAGATTCAAGCTTTCTTTCTCTTCCAGTGCTAGCCATTCCCCATTGACGTTTCTGAAGAATACTTCATTAGGCAGTGCTCGTGTTAAAGAATTCGACGACATCAATGATGATTCTGTGTACAAATGCTTGTGTAAATTAAAAGTAGTAAACAAAGAGATTTAATTATATTTGAAAATAAACTTTGCTTATTTAATGTATTTTCGCATCATTCTATAGATATTTTTAAATAATATCAATCTACTCACCACTTACTTTTTTCAGTATTTATACGCCAAATGATTAAAATGTAAGTATTCACACAAACTTGGAATTTGCATTCTGTGTAAAATATATAAAACTCGATTATGTATAGGAGAGTTGAACGAACACATATATGTAGCCTTTATTTGTGAGCTCTATGTAATTGAACACAAATAAAGATATGCAATAAGAGATTAAACAAAGTCACAATTTCTGGTACAAAAAATGAGCGTATTTATACACAATTCACTCTGTTTTATCTTATTTAAATTCGCAGTACATTTACGTATATATGTATGCGTTTATATATAATATAAATATGTATTGATAATTATTCAAGAAACTGCGAGATATCTTCTTCTTCTTCTTTCCTCTATGGATTTCCGTCCTCTTCTGGGACAAAGACAAAGTACCACAATGTAACTGTTTATATAGAGTGTAGGGTGTGTTCCGATATGCATTGCCAGTGCATATTGACAGATTGGCAGTGCATATCGGAAGATATGCGAGATATGAATTTATAGCCTAGTTTATACCGATATACTTTTAGTGCCGGTCCACAATAGGTGATTTAAGCCCTAAGCCTTAGGAAATTGACCAATCACAATCAATATGAAGAGAATACTCGACTGTGATTAGTCAATTTCTTAAAGGACATTCTACAATGGCAGTAACAAGGCTGTAGGGATAGGAGAGTATACTGTTTTTAGTGATGTAAAGACCGAGAGTAACGAAATGGGCAATTCCCATTTGCTCTTAAAAGTTTATTACTCGCGCAACTCCATGATTTTGTGTGGGAGAGATTCCTTTGGACAAAGTGCAATTGGACACAACCACTCAGATCGATCGGTGCTTAGGATGACCATCACGATTGACCAATGAAAGAACCTTGTTTTCAACTGGCCAATAACCATTGTGTCCAATTGATATACACTCACATATACGTACATACCTGAGCTCGCTACGAGCGCCACGCACAGACCAATCACGAGCTTCGCGAGATATGACGTAGCGACGCCATGTTGGAGAATAATCGAGAAGACGACGAGCGACGAGAGCGGAGAGCGGCCATTTGGCACGAGCACTCTCTCCTGAACAAGCATCGCGATAAGTCGTATAAGTCATACATATATCAGTGACACGCAATTTGGATCTTTGATTGTGAACAAGTCTCAGTGAGAGTAAAGACGAAGTGTGGACTGAAAACAAGTCTCCTGATATTTATTTAATCCTGGGATATCAACAAACGCCCTAGATCTTTCAGTAGCATGTCCACGATGAATCCCGAGTAGTGAGTAAACTTCCTTTTACACAGAGGCGTTAAGTGCATCGTATCTATCGCTACGCGTCATCGTCGCATCGAGCGATGATATGAACTTGACGAGAAACGCGCCTCTCTCCTCGGAGATATCATATGTCAACGTTAATTTCTTCAAACGGGAGTGAAAGATGAGGAAAAATAAAGAAAGAATCACAACGAAAAACATCCTTTAATTCTCGTCATCTTCTGACAGATTTACCCATCCCTTCCGTCATTTTCCCCTACTACTTGAAACATGGCACTCTTGTATCCATAGTCCATATTTCATTATTTTTTTACTGTTACACTTTTGCTATGTATGCGCTTCGCGATATCGACCTTGATCTTTCTTCGTAATAGTCATCGATAGATACGCATGAACGATTAATAAGTTTATGGAATGTCTATTTGAAACTTTAAAAGGACTCTAATTTGTAGAATGTTTCTTTTTCCAACTGTTCACTACTTCGCATCCTCCGCGTTTCGATTTGAAAGTCTATATAATTTCGCTTATAAAGTGGTAACATCAAATCGTTTCTTGCCCTTTTATTTATAAGAATAATAAATATCAAAATATATAATTAATAACAAATTTGTGATATATATAAGAGAGATTGAAATATTTTGTTTCAGCGATTACTTGTTTAAATTGCTTCTAATTGGGGATTCTGGTGTTGGAAAGTCGTGTCTCTTGCTGCGTTTTGCCGATGATACATATACAGAAAGTTATATCAGCACCATTGGTGTAGATTTTAAGATTCGAACCATCGATCTAGATGGAAAAACGATAAAATTACAAATCTGGGATACAGCAGGTCAAGAACGATTCAGGACAATTACAAGTTCATATTATCGAGGTGCACACGGTATTATTGTTGTTTACGACTGCACAGACCAGGAGACTTTTAACAATGTAAAACAATGGTTGGAGGAAATTGATCGTTATGCCTGTGATAACGTCAACAAGTTACTAGTCGGCAATAAATGTGATCTACATACTAAAAAAGTAGTCGACTATACAACAGCCAAGGTAAGCCATGATTCATACCTCTTCTAATATTGTGCAATTTACATTGATTATAATTTCTCGTTGAGTTTCTATGCTTTATTTCAAACAGGAATATGCGGATCAACTTGGCATACCATTTTTGGAAACATCAGCCAAGAATGCGATGAATGTTGAACAAGCTTTTATGACAATGGCTGCTGAAATCAAACTCAGAGTGGGTCCACCCTCGAGCGGAGCAAGCGATCCAGCGAATAAAGTGAAAATAGAGCATGGACGACCAATCGAATCTTCTAAATCTGGCTGCTGCTGAGAACTGTAATCTTATGTCCCGTTTAACCAAAGTGAGTAAAACAAAAAGCTAGGAGACTTAATCAATTCAAATCCGAGCAATATTATTAAACAAAAGAGAAAAAAAAATTGCAATTTTTTATTCCCACAGAACATCTAACGGTTGCGGTTCGGATACTGCAAAATTAAACTTATTATTGGAAGCATAAGAATATGGAGAAGTTTCATTTTATGCCAACAAAAAAAAAGGAAGAAATCTAACATATTCATGGACCACCAACTCTTCCTAAGAGTTGTACAGAACTCTTGTCCGTCTGCCCTGATTGAATTTCGTTTATGTAGTTACATATCTTTCTTTTCGAAGAAGAAAGGACGTGGTCACTCGACGCCATTTTTTTCTAGCGTCAAGTTCGACTTGAGATAAATTTGTCGAATTAGCATTGATAACGTCGTGCGGGTGAAGCGTGCGTGTAGTAAGGAGCAACTCGAAACTTTTGAGAAGTAAATTGAATAATATCGTGTACGGTGATTATAAAAATAAGTACATTCATTTTTTTTTTTTTTTTTTTTTTTTTTTTTTAGCCTAATTGTAATATGTACAATGGAATATCTGTTTGGCTCTGTGTGTAGCCCGCACGGAGCCATTTCTATTCCTCTATACTATAATCCAAAATGTTTTCCCATTTTTCGTTTTGTTTTCTCCGTTTACTCCCACAGAGATGCGCGCAGATGTTTAGATCATTTTTTCCCCTAGTGAGATTCCCGCAAATGAGATGCGCTGCCCTTCCTTTTCTTCTCACACAGCTCATTAGTGTAATTTATAATAACATATTAATAAATATTTCAACATTAAAACTCGGAATGCATACGCGTATAGCATACCTTTATATATATATATATATGTATAATATATAATACATATGCATATATGTACAATGTGTATGTATTCGAGAGAAATATCGCCCGCGTTTATAAAGCGCAACAGGCCAAACGATAGAACGCGGAATCTTCGTTTGCATCTTCTTGAACTTTTTTGATTGCCTGCGTCATTTTTTTTTACAATTCAAGATGCGATCCGAGAATCGATAAAAAAGGGTCTATTACAGAGTTTCAGACTTACGATCGCGTAGAAAACTGGGATGTTTTATACGAGATAAGATATTACGCAGTTACATATTTAATCCAAATCGTATCTTTGTATTGTGAGAAAGGCTATTGTGACGGGTATACGATAAATAACGGCACTCGAAATTGCAAATATAGTAACTGTAATTATTATATATATAAAATACGGAAAGGAGAATAAAACACACGACTGTCTAAATAAAAAAGGTCATCGCTTCTCTCCAATAAAATTATTTTGTTAAACGTAGCTGTTACATCCATTGCGTGTACATATATGTATATATGTATGTACGCGAGCTTTGTGATGCGTAACTTGCCACGTGTTTCGTAATCCCGGACACACCTGGAAAATCAATTGCGGAATGTCACGTTGACAGCATGACAGCTGATTCGCGTCCATCTGGCGGCCGAACTCTTTACTAAGAATGACATTTCGTGCTTATGTCGCTAAACACGGTGATCTCGCGGATAGATTAAACCTGTCAGCGAAGATCTGCGAATTGCGAGATGGAATCGACAAATCGGACGCACGTGTGTAAATTTATGAAGAATTAAACAACAGTAGTTGTCCGGTTCTTGTAAATCCTGCGTGTTCTTTGGGATTGATTGTGACATAACCTTTTATCTTACTCGGCGAGCATAGATCGCTTCAAAATGATGCAACAATATATGAAGGAATTGGAGCAGGTATATTAATAATTTTTTTTTTCTTTCTACCTGTCATTTATATTCAGTCGCTTTATGTATAAATTAATAATACGATAATTTATGTATAATGCGATATTATGTATAACAGTAGTTGCCCGGTTCGTAAAAATTAATAAAAACTAATCATTTTTCAAAAATAGGATTTTATTTTATGTCGCAAAGTTCAAAAACTTCTCTGCAATTATACTATTGATATAATTGATATATAATTGCGTTAGTTATGAAGCCAATATGTGTGAAATGTGAATTAGTTACAATTTAATATTTCGCAGGATCCATTTGATCCTGAAGAATTTGTCGAACGATTGGCTTGGAGGACTGTCAATGATAATACAAAAGATGGAGGAAAGACATTCTTCGATCCGGTTATCGTTCATGAGACCTTTTTACAGGCAATCAAAGATTTGCAAGTATTACAGGAACGTCAGCAAAAGAAATGCGATAAACTGGAGGTTGCATTGAAAGAAGAGGAAGCTCGACATGCGCTTGAAATACTAGGATTGCAGGAGAGAAATAGACATTCTATTGAGTTGTTTCATCAGTTAGATGAGAGAATAAATCTGGTGGCTACTAAAGTCTTACACTTGGGAGATCAGTTGGAAAGTGTCAATACACCAAGGGCGAGAGCAGTGGAGGCTCAAAAATTAATGAGACACTTTTCGGAATTTTTAAGCCCAGGTCCATTGACGGATCCAATTTTCACTGATAAATCTTTGGTAGAGATGATGAATCAATTGTTCAACAATATGTAGTAACAAAATGACCAAACTTTAATCAGTATTGTTGATTGCAGTTGAACGATGCCGCAGATGTGATACAGAAACTTTATCTCATAGCTCAGGAACTTCCCTCTGAAAAATTCGAACACGCTAAAAAGAAGATTAGCATTAAATACGACGAGATAGAACGAAATCTGATTGAGGAATTTGTAAGAGCACATAATAGGGAAGATGCGCCGCGTATGAAGGAACTGGCGAGTACTTTAGCTCATTTCAAAGGTTACTCTCAATGCATCGACGCGTTCATAGAACAAAGTCAAATGGGTTCCTTCGGTGGAAAGGATGTTTTTCAAGATGTCATACCTATGTGTACAAAGTACCAAAAACTTATGCAACAGGTCTTTTCCAATCCTGAACAAGTGATGGCCAAATTCGTCTTGAACATTTACCATCTGCGTCTTCAAAAGTATGCAGTGGCTAAATTAGCTGATAAAAATGACTCTGACAAATATCTCAGGAACTTGTACGATCTGTATACAAGAACAGTCAAGCTGTCCAATGATCTCAGAGTCTTCAATATGGGCGCCGATGATACTTACCTTGCTAAACTCACTAGAAACATCTTTCAAAAATATTTGGATACTTATATTACGTAAGTTTGCGATTTCAAAGATAACAGTGTTTCAAAGACAATAGGCTCTATAATAATTATCCATTACTAATCATTTTAGTATTGAAACAAAAGCGTTTCGCGAAAAGTCAGCGGCACTGCTTATCGAATATTACGAATCTAAGAATCATCAGAAAAAACAATTGCAGACGGGTGGATTCCAAGAACTGCGTCGAGACTTGCAGGCTGTATTAGGTGCAAGAACAAATATAAATATTGCTCAAATAGAGGACTATGGAGGTGAAACGTTTCTATCAGAAGAGCTGGCAATTGCGATATTACAGAGAAGCAAACTCGCATTTCAAAGATGCCAATTACTTTCGCAGCCTATTGATATTCCTGGAAATGCACTCCAGATCTTTGAGATATTATTACAATATTTAATAAGCGAACACGTAGATTATGCACTGGAATTAGGTTTACAAAGCGTTCCCATACCAGAGAGCAGAACTCAACCAGAGATTTATTTCTTTAACGTTGTGCATCAGTGCAATGCGATCGTTCGGCTCTTGGAGGAACAGTTCAACGACAGTGTATTGTCTCTTGTCTTGTATGCAATTTTCTTTATTCGCTTAATACGTCTTTATACTATGTATTAAAAATTGATATTAGAGCCATGCATTTTTTTCTAGATCAACGCCTAAACACGCTGAGTGTTTGTTGAAGAAAAAAGCGATATTAGAGCAGATCGATGTCAAGTTGGACATCGGCTTGGACAGAAGCATAAACGCTATTATAGGTTGGGTGAAGGTGTATCTACAAAGCGAACAGAAAAAAACTGATTTCAAGCCGGAAACTGATGTAGATACCGTGAATACTCCCGCCTGTTTAGTGGTGGTTCAGTATGTGAGTGGAATGATACGACTGATACGAAACACTTTGGACGGCAGGCACTTGGACACCGCTCTCAAGGAACTAGGGATCAGATTCCACAAAGTCATTTATGATCATTTACAACAATTTCAATTTAATTCCGCCGGGGCTATGTGCGCGATATGCGACATGAACGAATATCGCAAGTGCATTAAAGAGCTTGAAGTTGAATTTGTTACAAATCTTTTTGATACTCTACATGCTTTGTGTAATTTGCTATTGGTCAAGCCAGAAAATCTGAAACAAGTCTGCACAGGAGAGCAACTGGTATGTTATACGAATTATTATTTTCAAGGGATATTTTTGCAAATGTGTACGAGTTATTCCTTATGATTGCAGATGATACTTGATCGCACCGTTCTACTTAACTTTATTCAATTGAGAACTGATTACAAAACACAGAAGTTAGCCAATTGTTTAAAAGGCTTGGCAACATGATGACATTCTACTTACATAATAAAAAATACTTTGTTCTCAGCCTAATCCTTCGTATAATGATGATTGATGTGTATATATATAGTTGCTACCAAATATATGAAAGTAATCACTGAAGTAAGATTGTATAATTATATTTATATCAATGTTCAAATACTTTTCGAGGATTTTCGCCATTAGGCTCGTTCACATTGTCATGTACATACAAGAACATTTGCAGAAAAATAGCACTCTTCAAACACATCCATTCTATTTGTTATTTTTTGACAAATCGCAAATAAATGAATGTCGATTTAAAATAAGCAATAATAAAAATTCGCGTAAAAATTGTAATCAGATTAAAATTTGTGTAAAAGATGCTTTTGTCAAACATAATGCAATTTTTGATAGCATTATCACATACATTTAAGCGCAAAGAATCCTGTAATATATAAAAATAAATAATTTTGAGGGCAAAGAATTTTGGCGCACAATTATATTTTATTATATGTCAGACTTATTAATTATACACACACAAGTAGTTTCTTTTAACATTACGATGAAATATCATAAAGACACACTCATGTTTAAGGTTCAAAAAGTTTTTCTTCTTCTTTTCTTTTTTTTTTACAATCAAACTGATGATTTTCAGTTGTGCGCGAAAATTCGTTTATTTTCTTACTACAATATCTCGTCGTTTGTTCGAATTTAGTGTTATAAATATGATAGATTTACCAGATTTGCACGTTTATCGGAGAATGTCTATAAAAGTCATTACATTAAACGTCTAACCAGGAAGCATCATTTTAAAAATTAAAGATTCGCAAAACTTTGACAGCTCATGTACCATCATCGATGCATGCATCGATCGTGCTGTTTATAATTGCGATCATCGTTTATAATTGCATAATTAGTAGAGAATCGACTCCAGGTTTGATTAAATGATTTCTCATGAGCTATGAAAAAAAAGAGGAAGAAGACGCACAATCCGCTGAATATCAGCGCATACGGTAATTATTAGTTTCGTGTACTTGACACAACTCTCCTTTAAAGTCCAACTCGATGCTGAAATCCAGATCTCTATAATTTCTGGCATTGGGCCTCATCGAAAATACGCCATAAATTTCCTCTCCTTTCTTCACCGTCATGTATTCGTCGAAATAAAAGACAGTTTGCTTCCAATGTGTATATGGCACTTCCGGTGCGGTACTGAAGCCAATACGTTTGTGGCACTTGGTGAATTCGATGTTGAAGAATGTAACTAGGGCTTGAACATAGTCGTTTCTACGAACTTGCAGGGTAAATGGCGATGAAAACTCGAGATCCGCTTTCGTCACAGTGTAAAGATCAACTTCTTTGATTAGGCATGCATTTGTAACGACTTGTTTGGGATCAACAACATCCACTAGTGGCTCGCTAATCGCCACCTTCCTTATACTACTCATGTCAAATCCGTATACATCATCCCACCAATTAATCTTTTCGTCCTTGTATTGTCTGTCTTCAATCCCACAGATAAACAAAGTCGCTTTGTCAGGAAATAGCATACCATCTTCGCGAAGCCACTTATCCCTGGCAAAAAGTACTGTGTCTAACATGGATTCGTAGAACAAACAATAGCCCATCCATTCGGATATTATTATATCGACCTTCTCTATTCCATCGGGTAATGAAACTTCCTCGACTTTTCCTTTAAGTATCGTTATAACATTGGAAAGATTGTTCGCTTCTACTATCTTCTCTGCATATTCGACAATATTAGAGCACTCGATACCGATAACTTTAGCTGCGCCAGCCTTAGCTGCAAACATGGAGAGAATACCGGTGCCGCAGCCAATATCAAGAACCGTTTTCCCTTTGAAGAGATGTTTGTTATGATACATTGAATTACGATAAGTTACAGTGCGTACTTCATCTTTTAACATTTCCTCGTGTATTCCATAATGAGCATAAGAATCAAAGTAATAGTCTCTCGAGGTCATATCATCGACAGATACAGACTCCTTACAGGATGTTGCGCCAACATCTTTATCCAGGATAGTGGGCTCTGCTATATCCATAGACTCCATTTTTGACGTCTGTAACATTTATATTATGCTAGAGACTGATTGATTCAAAGGGGCTATTTAATATATATATCTCTTTGATTTATGAACAAGTTTTAACTGTGAAAATGACAAGGGAAAAAAAAAATTGAAGGTATTCATAACCTAATTATAAGAATTAGGAAAGTTTTACCTCATAAAATTTACACACACGCATAAATATATCTGCTTAATAATTTATCGGTGTAATATTAAAAACTACAAACGTTTATATTGGTCTATTACTAAAAAGAAAAATGCCGCACAAGGACAAAGCTTCTAATTTATAAACATGTGACACGTATGCAAAAAATATAAAAGGTAAAGTAAAATTTTTATAGAAATTAATAGGATCGAAGTGTGATTTACAATACTGTTCATGAGTGCGAACGGCAATTCGGTTCGGTCCAACGAATTCGCATTCAAGCCGGCAACGAGAAGCCACGTGCCCGCCAAAACGAATGGCGTCCTTTAAGAGATCGAACAACCGGTCGATATATCTTATCCCGCGCTATATTCTTCCTATTCTTTTATTATACCGCTTCCATTCGTCTATATAGAACGTCGGCTGCTAACTGCGCGAATTTTTCACGTTTCGATAATCGGCGAGCACCGTTATTACCATTCGAATAGAATCGCAAAACCGTTGGCGGAACGTAAGATGGATCGCGAAAGCGTGATATCGCATCCGCCGCGATCGCGAGTATCCGTTGCACGCGAGACGATTATGCCGAGCTAAAACCGCGACAAAGACGACGTTCCTATAAGCGTTCTGTCGATCAACGCGCGTCTGATATCCGCGAGACGTGTCGGCCCGTCGATGATACGATTTAGGATATCGGGCCCTCTATCACTTTGCCGATAATCCGCATCGCAAAAACTCACCGAATTTTCCGTGTTACACACGCGACTCTGGTTGATTTCTACCGGCACTTCATTACTCGTCGCCATTTTGCTCTGCGTCACAGCAGACGACTGGACCGTCTCTCAGGCCCGTCGCTATCGTCGATCGTCGGGTGAATTTTGTTGCCCGGGATATCCGGGTTAGCGCTGGCGCTACATAAGCGAATCTCCTTTATTTTCGCAAGAGTTTATTTCGCATACTTCACATCAATAATTCTTCTTCTTCTTTATTAATAGAGTGCAAAGCGAATTAACTGTATAAATAAAAAGATGTATTTCTTACATCTAAGTATTATGTACATTTGATTGTAGCATTTTTGTAACTGCAAAAATTTATTGACGATGTTCAGTGCATTTTTTTTTTTTTTTTTTTTTTTTTTTTTTAAGGAAAAGTATCTTATTGTAAACAAATAATAAATTTCTAGTGAACTTTCCCCCTAGGACGGAACATGAAAAGTGAAAAATTTTACCCTTGAAACTAAAAGCAAAATTTTTCACTTTCACGTTTCTGCCCTAGGAAAAAGGTACGTGATTGAAAGCCTGATTACATCCGACGTACGATATCCAAAGAAAAAGGTGAATTTATGTCTAACAATATTATTGTCGGTAGAAATAAATTCTCCTATTGGATATCAAATATCGGCCTAGGGTGTGTTCCCTTTTTGCTTGCAGTGCGACCATCATGACTTGTGACATCGTATATATATATGCTATGGAAGATCTCGTGCAGTGTTGCTGGACGCTTCCTTTTTCGCGCATGCACGATGTAGCGGTAGCAGATACAGGAATGTACATATAACGGGGGCACCAGAATTTTAAATTGTTTTAAATCATCTCACAAATTACATATTTTAAATTGTATTAAATTGTATGAATTACTTGATTAATCTTATATAATTGATTACATAATCCAATTTTTAAAAATTATTATATATCCTTTAGAAACGATCAAGTATGGGCCTATACAGGATATTGTTTTAACTAATTTAACTACTTCCGTGATACTACATTTGACGCGCATGCGCGAAAGAGGGAACTCATCTGGCAACACTGCAGAATATTGTGCGCATCCGCGATTGCAATTCGTGTTGCCGAGAGTTGAGGAGTAGTGAGGAGTGTCGAGTCTGCTTTTTCGAAGCGGGTCAGTCAGTCAGTCTGCGTTTACTGCTGCTCCGTCTGTGAATCATTTCGCTTGTTATAATCGTGATGACGATGTGAGGACGGGCGGTGCGTTTGTTTTGATGTTTCGGTAGTGTGTTTGATCCATACTGTTAACATTTGCGTCGTCGAGCTCTAGAAGATGCTGGTGAGTAAACAGGCGGGAGAAAATGTAATAGACGTAGACATAGAGCAACAACGGTAACCGCGGCGGCTAACGCGTTCCTTCGCTCGATGGCGCGCATATATGTGTGTGTGTGTGTGTGTGTGTGTGTGTATGTATGTATGTATGTATGTATGTGTGTGTGTGTATATATAATGTGGTATGTGGTTTTGTTCTTCGCGTTCTGTATTTTCGTATAGAATCCGTTATGACATACGTTGTGCGTCGCACGCTACGCATCCGCGCTTTTTCTGTCTCTCCCTTCCACTCTGTCTTTCTCTCTCTCTCTCGTTCGCCGCTCGCTCGCACTCTCGTTTTATCCTTCCCTCCCCCCCTCTCTCTCTCTCTCTCTCTCTGTCTGCTAGTCGGAGACAAGTCCGAGAGTCCGAGTACGAATGTTGCGGATCTCTTGCCGGGCAGAACGTTCGGATAGTTACACAGGCAGGGGACGTACTCCGTAAAAATCTGGAATTTTTTTCTCTCTTTTTTTGTATTCTTTATCGTTGTGGCAATTCCACGACAGATACTTTCTAAGGCGTGAAAGGCGCCAGAGGATGCCTGGAAGCGTCATTACACTGACTGAGACGACTGTGGCTATCAAAACGCACAAAGTTTGCGTTGTCATTGATTACGCTTCGTTTAATTACATTTTTTTTTTAGATTTTTATTCTTTTTTCTCGCGCACAACACATAAGTTAATTTGCTCCTTTTTAGTTATATTCTATTGCACATATATATATGTATGTACATACGTATATATGTTGTCATTATTTTATTACTCTCTCCGAAATAAAAACAAGAGACCATGCAAACATATAATATAATATAATTGAGACAAATGTATGACTATATTATAATGTGTTGTATTTTTTGATTTGAGAAATCAATAACAGATTTATATTTGCTTTATTTTAAATAAAAAGAAAACACATTAGAAATATGGCTTAAAATAGATCTAACATGTATAATTTATTATAAAACATTATATATTGTAGATATGATAACATTATATTATATGTATATGCATACATATGGTAGTATTTTTTCCATTATCAATATGTTAGTTATTTTTTGCTATTACAATAATCCGTGTTCAGAGATCAGAAAGAAATGTGTGTGATTTATTTAGTTTATTAAAAAAAGAATTATGTTAAGTATTGTTTTGCATTTTTATACTCTAAACATAATTAGTGTTTTTGTAAAGAAAATTATAAAATATAAATTATTGCAATAAAATTAAAAGTAAAAAAACATGGAATTTTATTCTGGAAAAAAAAGGGAATTTCTCTTATCTGTGCATATTCTAAAGTTTAAATTAAAATTTAGTGTATATACAAGACACATTGATAAGTATTGATTAAAATTAAAAGAAACAGACTTGCATAATATGTACAAGAATAATATATTCCTATACTATTTCACAATTTTACTTGTTGATGTTTGTTACTTTTTAAACTTGCATTACAAGTTTTGATATGAAATCATTGTTATAATCTTGATATAATACATTAATATATAATATTAAATTTATTGTTGTTACAGGGAGACGATCCACCGTCCCTATCGGTAGGTACGGAAGTTAGCGCTAAGTATAAGGGTGCCTTCTGCGAAGCAAAGATCCGTAAAGTAGTGCGATTAGTGAAGTGTCGCGTAACTTATAAACCGCAAGGTTTAGGAACCGCGACACTTTCCGATGATCAAATAAAAGGGACTTTAAGAGTAGGAGCCTCTGTTGAAGCTAAACATGTAGATCGTAAAGAATATGTTGAAGCTACAATTACCAAAATCCAAGACTGCAGTCAGTACACTGTAGTTTTTGATGATGGAGATATAACTACATTAAGGAGAACTGCGCTTTGCCTGAAAAGCGGACGGCATTTTGCGGAGAGTGAAACGTTGGACCAACTTCCGTTGACTCACCCAGAGCACTTTGGGAATCCTGTAATCGGGGGTAGAAGAGGTAGACGATCAAGGCAAGCGCAGTAAGTGCGGTGGAGAAGTCTGTTTTTGAAAAGTCTAATAGTTGTTTAACACTAGAAAATTTTTATAAAATAGGGATGAAAGCAGCGAAGATGAAGACAGTCCACCGCGAGGCACTCACGATTCTGCTTCCAGTGGAGGTACAAAGGAGGGAATGGAAACTGAACCAGAGATCGGCAAAGTGGTGTGCGTGGAACTTGGTGACAAAAAGAAGAAGGATAATTGGTTCCCAGGATTAGTGGTTGCACCTACTGCTCAAGATACAGTAAGAATACGAGTGAGGGACGATTATTTGGTGCGCTCGTTTAAAGATGCGAGATAGTAAGTGAAAAATCTTTGTTTTAAAGTCGATTGCTATTGTATATATTATATATTGTATAAATATTTATACATGCTCCTTTAAGTTATACAGTACCCAAGAAGGAAGCCACAGAATTCACCAAAGAATTGGTTAATAAAGTTGAGAACAGTACACTGAAGGTTGCGGTAGAGAAAGCGCTTCTATTCTTAGAGAAAAATGAATTACCACCTCACTGGGATAAGGATTCTTTATTTGGGCATTCTGTTTCCAGCGGAAATAGTGATTACGATGGAGAACTTGACTCCGATGTAAGATCTCTCGCTTATCTTTTGCACTTCTTTTTTTCTTTTTTTTCCTCTTTATACGATGATTATGAGAAACGTGGCTTTTTTCAGAGTTCGGACGATGAACCGCGTGAGGAAAAAGACCATTTTGTGGCTCAACTATATAAATTTATGGATGATCGTGGGACGCCTATGAATGTTTGTCCAATGATCGGATCCGAAGATATAGACTTGTATAGGCTTTTCCGGGCTGTTCACAAATTAGGCGGTTACAATCGTGTCACGAATCAGAATCAATGGAAAGCTGTAACACGACGACTTGGTTTAATGATGCAAAATTCGGGACCTTTGTACAATCTCGTGAAACAGGCTTATAAGAAATATTTGCATCACTTTGAAGATTTTTATAAAAAATTAGGCTGCACCATGGTAAATCATCCGCGAAGTAGCACGCGTAAACAACGCTCTGGAAGAAGTCTAATTCGCGATAAAGACAGAAATACCCCTGTACCACCGCAACCGCCGGCGCAAGTAAAAAGTGACAAGGATGAGGACGAGAAGAAAGCTGCGGATGACGAGAAGAAGGAGATTAAGAAGGAACCAGTGAAAGAAGAGGAGATTATAAAAATAAAGAAGAAAGAAGAATCTGAGGGGAATGATAGTAGTCAGGAGAGCGATGTAAATATAGAAGCAGAGGTCGAATCATCATCTAATACTGAAAAATCGCAAAAACCAACCGCGCAAGTTTCTACATCATCTCCTACTACTTCTATTGGCGCATCATCAGCAAGTACATCGTCCGGCCGAGCCAAATCAAAAAGTAAAGAAGATGCCAAGAAAAAGACGACCGAAAAGAAGAAGACGGAAACTAAAAAGCAAGAGAAGAAAGATGATAAACTCAAGGAAGAAGAAGCTACTAAGACGAGATCCAAAGCGAAGGATGATACTGTAAAGAATAAAAGTGCTTCCGAAGGAAGGGAGACTCGAACACCATCCAGAGAAGGGGAAAAGAAAACGTTATCAAAGCAGCGACGTTTAACGGACGAAGAATTGAAGAAACGAGGAAGAAAACGCAAAGAGTATGAAGCGGAGAAGTCGCGTGCCGATGAACAACTTACGGAGACTGCCCCGAGTTACAAGGGTCCCGTGGAGTGTGGCGATAAATTGAAGGTATATTACGGCCCAACTCACGAATCCAAAGTTACTTACGAAGCAAAAGTTATCGAAATTGAGAAGGACGGCCCAGAACCGATGTACCTTGTACATTATACAGGTTGGAATACGAGATACGACGAGTGGATTAAAGCATCCAGAATTGCCCAGAATTTTACACAAGCTCAAGGCAGGGTGAAACGTATCAAGGCCACTCCTAGGCCTCAAACTCCCAGTACGAATCTATCCAACAGCATCAGCAATAAGATGAAAGGCACTTGCAGTTCGGGCGCTAACGCAACGCAGAGCCGTCGCCGAGCACAAAGTGTCGCTCCTACTTCCAGTAGCGTTGCTCAGTCAATTTCGACGTCCGCGAAGGAAGTTAAGAAGGAGGAAAAGGACAAGGACAAGGAAACGATGCAACCGACCAGGTCCACTACACCGCTCTCCGTTGCCAGCTCAAGTTCTAGAACTAAGAGTCCTGCCACGCCTGCTAACAGGCAAACCAGGACAACCAGAAATACAGAGCTGTCTGGCATGGAGCATCGGAGGCGCACCAGAAGAACCTCGGGACATACGGATATATCTATCGCGTCGGAAACCGAAGATAGTGAGGCTTATGAATCCGACACTACCGAGACTGAACAGATTAAGACTAAAACAAGAGGTACGGAGGAAAGAAAACGGAAGGAGACGCGTAGTAGAGTGGAAGAGAGAATTAAAGCGGAAGACGTGAGTGACGGTGAAGATGACAAGGATAATCTGGATGAACCGCGTAAAGGTAGACGTTTGAGAAGAACACCCGGCAAATCCCAAGGTATTAAATCGGAACCTGATAGCGACCAGGAGGAACAACCGAAAGGTCGCGATTTCGATCTCAATCAAATACGATCCGAATTAAAAGGTTTCGATAAAGCGGTCAAAGAGTTGGTTAGAATAGAGCCTGAACCCGAGGATGAAATCAAGCAGGACGAAAAAGATAGCATAGTAGCGATCACGGCATCACCCAAGTTGGAAAAAACCGTTGAGACTCCAAAAGTGGAAACTATCGTCGAGACGAAGATAGAAAGTACGGAAGATATATACGAGTTTAAAGAACCGGAGCCGTTCGAGTTCGAGGTGAGGAACAAGAGGGACACGAGCGGTGAGAAGGATAAATTGAAAAAGAGAATATTTGAGGATGAGCCTAAGAGTCCGAAGAAGAAGCAGAAAACGCCGGTCGCGATGCCGGTATTGAAAGAAACGAAACCACTGGAACCACCGGATAATGATTCTCGAAAGAAACCGAGGAAATTATTCGGTAAGAGATCCGACGATGTGAACGAAGCAACGGTGGCAGTTGCTTCTGGCAGCAAACCTACTCAGGTCGCATCGTATATGGCGTGCGAGGACGTTTTTAACAAATTTTGCGAGTCCACGTCGTCGTTTAATCAACTGAAATCAATGACTACCGTGGAGGAACTTCCCAATAAGATGTCCGGCTGTTTAAGTCTTTTGTTCAACGATTTGCCGCCGGATGACGAGGGTACGCGCGATGATTCGGAAGACCGTCTAATTATATCAGAGACCGAGGTATCGGAGGCGGAACAGGACAACGTGTTTACGACGTATCAACAAGAGATTCAGTTCCACAGCGGCGGCGAATTAGCGGACATGACCGAATCTAAAAAAAACGAAACGAGTACCGCAATTGAATGCTCGAAGGAAGAAATCAGCAAGGCAACAGCCAGCATGAGTAATAGTAACAAACCCGCTAATTCACTGGATCAGAAACAGAATCAGATCAAGTTGTTGCCTACAGTTGGACAATCGCAATCGGAATTGAGGATGCTGGACACTAAGTTGCTCGATATCACCCCGGTTCCGTCGCCGATCGTGACACCTCCGGCTCCCATAAGCGCAAGACTGCCGGCGACGTCCACGATAGAGGAAAAATTATCGGCCGCTGCTATGGCGTTCCGAAACAAAACTAAAGACGCCAAAAAGATTGCGGACGAGGACACATCCGATCTCGCGCGCAAGATAATCAAAGATGCATCAAAGAAATCAGACGTTTTACAAAGAAACAAAGACGCGGATCGCAGTATTACTGTGATTGAAATAGATGATAAGAAACGCGAACAGGAAGAGATTAACGTGAAAGATCCGTGCAGAGAGATCATGCGTATGGCGATTAAAAAAGAGGATGAGGTGCAACAATTGAAGCCAAAGAAAGAAGCAGAACTGAAGAAGTTGAAGGAGGATGCAAAGATCATCGCTGAGCACAAGACCAAGTTGCAGGAAGTTTCGAGGGACGAAAGCTGGAAAAACGTCGAGAACGAAAGTGGTAAACAGTCCGAAGAGGAGTATAATAAAGTGACCGATCAAAAGGAAAAAGACAGAATTGAAAATCGTAAAAAACAAATCAATCAGGATCACATTATAGATTCCACAGATAGCAGTGATTCGGAACAGAGGCTCGTGATAGACAATGAGGAATCGCAAGATGTTAAAGTATCGACGTCCAGCTTTGATGTGAAGCTACAAGCGGAATTGGATCGTATACAGAATAGAGAGCAAGATAGATATGCGAGGGGACAGCCCTCATTGAAAGCTTCGCAGAATGTTCAACATCAGCAGCAACAACAACAGCAAGAATGTGCGGAATTCAAGGTCGACGTAACACCGGTTTCAAAGACGGACGAAGAGGGCGAGACGATGAATTCACTGCTATGCGAAGAGGAGATACCCGGCTCACCGGCTCCGCCGTCCGAGAGCATCGAACAAGTCAATGTCGGTCCCTCGTGTAGCCCGCCCAAGAGTGAAGTTACCGAGAGCAGCATAGTACTGATGGAGATGCCTTTTGCGAGCGCACCAACCTCAGGTCAAAGTACGACGAGCAGCAGCAGCACTGTTGTCACCCTCAGCATGGCATTGCCAAAGACCGTGGAGGCGTCGATACCGGTTTCTCTGCCAATGCAACAAACCGCATCTTTAAGTATGCGGCAGCCACAGCAGCAGCAGCAACAACAACAACAACATCAACATCAGCAGCAACAACACGTACCGGTTTTAATGCCACCGCAACGACGAGAGAGCAACGAGGCCGCGCCAGTGATGGACAATACGCCGCCGACCACCCCCGATTCGAGTATATCCAATATCTCGGGCTCGCCCAGAGAGGAGAGAACCGGCGGCTCGTCGCCGATCTCCGAAGACAACATTAAGCTCAATCGCGACAGCTTCGAGGCGGACAACGACAGTGCCGGCAAAGGCCCGGGTTTCAGTGAGGACGACACTCTGCCAAACTCCGAGGGCAACTGTGCGGACAGAATTCTCAAACCGCCCGCTAAACGCTCGATCGACGACATGCAGTCACCCAAGAAGCGCAAGAGAAATCGCAAGCACTCGGAATGCGGCGCCGGCGGCGGTGCCGTCATACCGAAGAAACCCGGTAGACAGAATAGTAGGCATGGTAGATACGGAGCTGGAAGTGACAGCGACGATACCAGCGAAGGATCTAATCTTTGCGGGGTTAACAACACGCCGACGAGTCACGCCAACACCATTACCAGTGTTCCTGATCTTGGCACCTACTCGTCGAGATCACCAAGACCAACAAAGTATAACTTTTACGTCGAATTAGGTACGTTAATAGAAAACTTATATTTGCGCGTTTTGCTAATTTGATTACACGTTAAAAATATTGAATTTTTCGTAAATCTGATTAGTTTTAGTTCCGTAATAATCAGAAAAGCGTTTTTCTTAAAATAGTTATATTAAATTTTCGCAGATCCTGAATTGGACGGTAGTCAAAGGATAGCTGTGCTACAGCAGAAATTAAACGACTTGCGGAAGACGTATAATGCCGTGAAGGTCGAGCTCGCCGCTATAGAAAGACGCCGAAAGAAACTACGAAGGCGGGAACGAGAGGGTAAGTATTTCATTGTGTCTTTTGCTCATTATTAACTTCACAGTTTTCATTTTGTTTTCTTCGGAAAGCACCGTTTCCCAATAGATGATCACACGTAGACACAGAAAAGATTTAAGAAATCTAATTTCATGATTTTTTTTTTTTTATTACATTGATATAAAAATTAATAAAACTTTTCATTTCAGCGATGAAAGCAGCTAAAGCAGAAATGCAACAAGCTTGTTCGTGATAAACAGTGTTGAAAAAAATCATTCTTTCCTCGAATAGTAAGTAAAACTTTCGTATTTCGACTTTCAGAGATATCGAAGTAGCAATCGTCGACACGGGCATCATGCAATCATGACAATTTTTATCTACGTACATCTCGTTTAGATAATATTTGTTCCTGCACACTTTTTTGTATTAATAAACTGTAGATATAGTCGTAAGATTTAGAATGAGGATGCGTTTATCAGAGCGATATACGCGATATATGATAAATATTGTACATTGTTTCGTCAAGTTTCGTCATTGAATAATTAAAAAATTTTTATCTTGTCACCTCAGATGCAAAGTACAAATTATCAAAACTGATGATCGTTTTTCAGGTATTATTCATTTCTCTTTTTTCGTTACAAAAAAGGAAAGAATTATCGATAGTTACATATATTATTGGTACAGACATCTTGGGAACAAGTAATTAACTAAGCTGGCTATCATTTCTGTTTTTCGAGCACGACCGCACCGATTGCGGTTGAGCTGTTTTCACACGATATTGAAAAAGTCAAAGTACATAGTGTCATAAAAATTCCAGTGACATCGTATGAATATTGCATGTATTGTAAGAAAAAATGTGTAAATATTACAGATTAGAGTAAAATTGTGAATTGTTAAGCATTGTGTGTGTGGGACGATTACGTCACGCATGTGTATACATAAAAAATTCTTGTTTAAATAATATAAATAATGTCACAATTTTTCATTTTGTGATTCTGGACATTACGAGCAATGGCTTCATAATCGTGGAGTGTAAAAGATGGAATGTTTGTATTGCTATTTTAATTTATGTATATAACACAACTAAAATAAAATGCTATTATACTTTGATGCTATTATGCTTGGAGAAGAAACAATTTGTATATTGACATATGTAAATGGATGCTCTTGATAAAAGAATAACGATATTGTTTTCTCTTTCGTGCTCTTCATGATCGGTATGGCAATTTATCGTGAATGCAGCTCGACGATACTAACAGTTTACTGATTTTCATGTAATATTTAGTTGTGTTTCGCATCTCATTATGAAATAGTTATTATTTACTTTCATCGATATCCTAAGTCACGATTGGATTTAGTAGAGATGCATTTATATTTGTATTTCGATATAGATATATATCGAAATGCATCAAGCGGACATTTGCTTATCATTCGCAGGATGTCTACTCTCTGGAAAGGCATAGAAAATCTAGAATTCTCAGGCAATTTTTTTGTACCTGGAGAAATTAGGGAATTCTTATGGAATTTTATTGGGATTTGGGGAATTTTTAAACAAATTCTCTAATAATTCTGCTTTTATATTGTAAAAGTCTGCAATCTGCCGATAAGCCAAGTTGTGAATTATGTGTTTAAAATATATTATAAATATATATTTATCTCTGTTTATATAAATATTCAATGTCAAGAAAATATTGAATATGCAGTACCTTTATTTTATTTTTTAGTGATAAAAAATGAAAATGTTATGTAAGTTAAAAATTTTTATTTTGACGAAAGTTATTCAGCTTTTTCTTGTTTTTTTTTTTTTTTTAAGTATTTGTAAATCTGGCACTTGAAACTTAAGTGGCTTTGTGTTTTTCCTTCATATGAGTGAAAAGCATTAAAAAACGCGTACAATAAAAAAACTTATTTTAGGAAAATGCATAAAAAAAAAATCTTAAATATTCTCTTTGCCTGGAATTTTCAACAAAAATATCTGAAAGATCAGGGAATTTTTTTACAATATTTGAGAGATATCCTGCATTCGTTTCATACGCCTGTTTCCTTAGATTCGGCGAAACATATAAAATCGCTTACGAGAGAACGACACTTACATCTGAAGCATTGGTATTAGCGGAAAAAAAAATTCTATTAAATGGTCGACCAGCATTACACACGCATCTTCTCTGCGATTTTTATCTTTAAGGTTCTTGATCTGTCACTATAGTTATATTAAATTATAAACAATGTCAAAAGCGACAAATTATATATATATATATTAAAGAGTGCTTAAAAAAACAGGTATTAAAAAATTAGATAGAATAGTGTAAAAAAGAGGAAACTTAATCTTAAGAAACACATCGAAGATGTGAATCAAATGCCGTTAGGTAGAAAAACTTGTAAGAAAATACACAAAACTGTCTGAAAAAAGAATGAAATTTTATATCGATAGATATAACGGATATATATATACACACACACATACATATATATATATATATATATGTATATCTCGATATTATATATTTTTTTATAAAAAATCAATATGTAAATGTGCTTTATGATGTAAAAACGCGATTACACATAAATCTGAGGAGAATGAAGAAAATTGTGGGGATTCCTCGATATTGTATATAATTTTACATTGTGTGTGTTACAGACCCAAGTCAGACTCTGATAGTTTATTGCACACTCTGACATAGCTGCGCAATTTGATGTATAATAGTCCCAGAAAAAAATGTTGCAGTAGCACATATATGCGCGTATTTGTTTTGAGAAAACTAGAGGATGCATTTTGACATTAAAATCTTTCAATAATTTGTGCTATATGGGATTGTATGTTTGTATGTGTGAATGATATATTAAAGCAATTTGTATTATTGCAAATTTAAATTTTAAATACAATATTTTATACAAATCTATATTCTAATATCAGAATACAACTAATTATGCATTATTAGGGTTTTCAAAAGAAAAAATGATAAGAATGACAGGAAATATTATTTAGTTTATATTCTTTTTATTCAGAATTATATATTATTATTCAGTTACAATCTCGAGCAATCCAGTTATGAAATTTATTAAAATTTTCAATTGTACAAAAAATCAAATGTGAAATTAAATTATTTGCTTTGTTTATATTTATATTATATAAATTCTAGTCTATAAATTTAATTAAAAGGTTTTAATTATCATTCAAAAATTAGGAATTTATAATTATACAAAAAAAAGTATATTAGAATATGAAACGATAACACACACAAAAGCCATCTGTTATGTTATTGGTCAATTTTAGTTTATAATACAATAATATTTCAATACCAAACTGTAACAATTCACAAATATAATTTTGACAATCCAAATTATCATTTAAAAAGATAAAGCCATGAATAATTACAATTTAAAATAGGTTTATTTAATTCAAAGTATATATATTATTATATATGCTCGCGAATTATGTATAAAGATAAATAGTCATAAATGCATCCTCATCTTCTGAAAACAGTTAATCTCCTTATAAATCATACGACGTTACATGTGAAATAGTACATATAGTAAGCACAAGGCGAATTTTTATCGCCAAACAGTAAGTAATTATTGTTTCACATAACATTTAACTGTGTCAGTGAGTATCGTTAAGAAATAAATCCTATCTTAACAAGAAACAATGCTCATATATATATATATTGCATTAGTTGTATTGCTCCTGCATTTTTATTTATATAAGTGCCCTGTAAATGTATTAAAATATGTCAAAAGAAAGAGATAGAATAAGAAAAATTAATTTTGCACAAACTGTGTACTTAAAATCTGATATACATATTTATTACATTGTAGCTTACAAACAAAGATGGACAGATTAAAATCTGTGTAAAACTTATGCAAAACCTAATTTCTTTCAATATAATATATAAATATTCAGATTATTGTACTTTGCACTTATTTGTATTAAAGAATAATATAAGACTGTTTTTTATCGATTACACAATATAATGCACCATCAATGACACGCACATATATATAATATACAATATTTCTTCTATCACTTGTTCTGTGTGTCACATAGCGAGTAACAGAAAATTTCATAATACAAATCAATGACTTAAAATATACGCATTATAAGTTAATTTTCATATTTTAATTTTATGCTCTAATGTTCTACAGCTATAAGAAATTTCTACATTATACAATATATAATATCGCCGCGAGATATATATAGAGATTGTTTTAGGAATAATATATATATATTGATTAATTTTTTTTGTACACAGTAGAATCGATGCATTGAACATATAATATTATCATTTAAAAAAAATGAAAGAATATTATAAAATATTTTCTAAAGAAAGTATATTTTTTGTAAGATTTATAAAATAATATATATGTATATATGACTTTTAGGACTACTTTGATCAAACTCTGATTATCTTAATCATTAATTTAATTGCAGGATGACCAACATCAAAATTTCTAACAATATAATTATATAATATAAATTTTACAATTGACGTTTTGTGAAATTTTGCTATTGGTTATTTTGTAAGTTAATCAATGATTAAGTTAATCATTATTTGGCTAAAGTGGCTCTAAGAAATGTACTGGGTATCGAGTATCTAGAGTAGCAAAGAAAAATTACATGCCCAAATAAATCATGAATAGAAACCTAGCAAAAAACATATTATCCAATTGAAAAAAATACATACAATATTTTGAAAATAAAGAAAGAAACTGGAGCGCATAATCACAAACAAAATTTTAATTAATTTAGTAAGTTTAGTCTGATTTGATACTTCCAATGTTTTATAACTATAATTTGTCGTTACATATTGTTAAAATTAAAATTTTATTTAATTGTAAATTGCACATTTATAGTTTACTCTTCTTGTTCATAAGTTTTTATAGACAATGTTTCTGTCCTTTGTTACTTTACAAATTTAGTTTCACGTCGTTCTCGTAAGAAATATTGAATGCAAAATCTGTACAAAACTACTTTAACTACTCTCTCTCTCTCTCTCTCTGAAATACTTGGGATATCCAATACATCTCTAACATTAATATACACATATTCATCTCACAATTATCTCAATATTATTGCGCTCGCCCAGAATATATTTCGCGTTTAAAGTATCACTTTCTTACAAATTAGTTTGCCCATTATTGACCATAGATTAGCGAGAAAAGATTCAATGTGTGACCTTACATTGAAATTGTCTCTTACTTAAATTGATGCTCCGTTTATACAATAGAATACTATGTAAAGGAGCATACTTTTGTGCGTGTCTCCCATTGAAGATTTCTCGACATTTGTAAAATCTCATTCTATCACAAGACAGAAGTGAACATTGATGTTAAACAATTTTCAAATCTTTTTAATACTCGTGAAAGAATACTCGCTGCTGAAGTAAATATACAAGATATTATATAGGAAAATGTAATTTGACATTAATTTTTATCTCACCATCTGTGTGTCTTTTTCTTTACACATTTCAATCACTGAATTATTAGCTTAAATGAGAAATGAGAAATTATACAGGAATCATTTAATCTTGGCGAATGGCGCATTGAGCGAAAGGGCATACTATTTTCCATTGCACATGTCAACAAGGAGGTGGGCTAGACGCTGGAGCTGTATCTAAGGTTGTCGCAGAAGAGGATGCTACTGTGGCCGCTTTATTGTCAGGATCTAATCTCTGTCTGGTAAACATGATCTGTTCCATTAATTCGTGATGCGCCTCTAATCGTTCGATGCAATGTAAACACGCAGTCTTTGGCAGCGGGTCATTCATGTTTACCTGCAAAATATGTACGTAAAAGAAACTGCTTTATTGCAACGCATTTCCTTGGGTATCAAATCATGTAAATGAAAAATGATATAATGATTTGTAAACATAGGAAAGATGATGCGATGCATTCTTAGAAAACATGACAGTCAATGCCTCTCTCCCCCTTTCCCAAAAACATGTAAAATATGTTCCGCAAGAAAGTGTGAAATAAATGTGTCAAAGGAAAATAAGGACCCTTATCTGTGAAAAGTGTGCAAGAAGTTATGTTCTCTTTTAGGAATCTCAATCGCTTCCGCACATCGGAGAAGCGAGAGATGGAAATCGATGGAGCGGATGGGTGCGAGTGAAATTACCGTGATCGGCAAGTAAGTGTTTATCTTCTCGGCGAGCTTCATCCTCTCGCCCTCTTCCCCATAGATGTGGATGACGAAGCGATTCATCTTGCTGCAGAGTCTGCATATGAACCCCGTGATTACGGCCTTGTCCGTGCTACCCATCTCTGCTGCCCCAGGCCTCTGCCCTGCGGCCTGTGCGCACCCACGCACACACACGCACGCACAGCGTTCGCGTCTGTCTCCAGGTACCGATTGACAGAGCGACTCCACGCGCGATCGCTCGTGCTGCGAGAGAGCGAGCGTATATCCGAGAGAGAGATGTATCGTGCTTTCCACTCCTCGAGATTTCCCCCAGAGTTTGTTTATCGCAGACTCCGTAGTAGACACACCGAGCGCGCTCCGAGCAATGTCCAGGTTCAGGACCGTATACGCGCCGCTCGCCACCCACTAACACAAAGGGCTTGCCGTTATATTTTATTATTATTATTATTATTGCTGTCGCTATTATTATTGTCGTCCCGGTGACGCTGCACAGTATTCTTGAATTCGCCGGGGTTTGCTCTAATCCACAATTCAGCCGTACTATTACGGTGTGAAAGAAACGGAAATGGAACACGTCTGACGAAGCGAAATATATGCAGCCCTGACGACCGCGACTGAAAGTTGATCCGAAAGCAGCTCGAGAAAAAGAGATGCGAAGAAATCAGCTGTCGCGGGCATCTGTCAAGCGCAACGTCTAATATAGGAACGTGAATCTTTCTCCCGTTCATCGTTTTTCCGGCTCGTCGTCTGTCTCGACGATTCAACGGATATATATATATATATATATGAGGCTATTTAGATATAAATACATGAAAAGCGCGAAAAGAGGGTAACAAAAATTTACGTTTCTCTTTTTCCCTCAAAATTGTAAATCATATAATCACGTCGCGAAGAGAATTAAGAGATAAAAGCCGTTGTTCTACACAAAAGACTCTTATCAGCTAGATATATATGTTCGATTTTTTGCACGATATATTTGGATCCACTGAAAAAAAACGAGACTAGATATAAAATATGGAACATGTGTCGTAATTCTTTCGCTAAAATTGTAAGCCTAGAATTCGTGAAGAAGAGTATTATAATATCACAGTTGATCATTGAAAATTTTTGCGGTGGTTTTTATTGCATGAAGTCTGTAAACAAATTCCCATAGTATTTTGCAATTCCAATATATAGTACGTGATGTAATTTACGATTTACATATGCATTAATTCATGCAGATAATATACTTTTCCGACAAAGTCGAGCGTTTCATTTTCACGCATGAGAGAAGAATAGTACTATTATAAAAATGGAGAAGAGCGATAGCCGCATTTATCGTTCGACTCTGTCGTCCTCAGGTCGCGATTCCGCGATGAAATCGCGATCGCTTCCGGGAAAGTGTATATTGTATAAACGGATTTTTAAATCGCGACGCGCACCGCGATTCAACATGGCGGCGATCAGCTGTGTTCTGTCACAATGATGTTCGCCTCGACGAATGTTGGATTAATTAGCCTAATCGGTGCGGCGTGCACTGTTCGTTAGGATTAATCATTTCGTGATTCCGTCGATCGGGCTTCGAATTGGGCGTATCGCGTGTGCGATACTATCGTTCGTCGGTATCTTTTCCTTTCTCCCTCCACGCTGACTGACCGTGAATACGAGGCGTCTGAAGTGAGCGGCGAGTGGACGCGCAGCCTTGCCGCACAAAAGCAATATGGTGGTGATCGTCGGGGACAGTCGAGCGAATACGGGGAATGTTTAATAATATTGTCACCGTTGTGGCGAGACGTGCATCGGTGACGAGCGCGAGTGATGAACTTGACGTGACCGAGAGCCTCTCGCTAGGCTGAAAGGACCTGGGCACCATGTGCGATGTGTGCGTCGACTTTCACGATCTTCTACTTTCCTGTAAGTGCTAATATTGTGTATATACAGTGTAGCGCGTTTCCGTTCCCGATTCTTAACCTATTGTCGCGCTCATTTTCGCCGAGATTCACAGATGCCCGTGAGTGGATCGCGAGAGAATTTCTCCGACGGAAATATCGTCGTCGAAAATATATCGTTGACATCTAAGGCAAAAAACGCGATCGCGCGAAATCTTTCTTTCGGGCGAAATATAAATCGCAAAATAGCGTCTTATAACCTTAACCCCCGTTGTCCGTTTGACGGGCAAAAGCATCGAATATCTCGCGCTGTTCTTAAGCACACATTTCATATAAACATTTTTAGATTTCTCGTCGTAATCTTTGGATCAGGCTTGAATTCCTTTCTAAAATCAGCGAATTTTCGAATGTACAAGTGTTATAATTTTCTTAATGACACGTTTTTCAAATATTTTTCACCGAAGCTCGCGTACTCTATTCGATAACTTTGAGTTCTTATTGTTGAAATCGTTCACATATTGCAGATGTTTACTTTCAATATATTCGAAAAAACGTAATATTTTCATTAATGTAAAAACACACATTGGTGATTTTGGAAAACTGTAAGTTTTATACCACAGCAAATAAAAGATTTTATGCATTGAAAAAATTAAGTTTCTTATAAATATGGTACTTTTTTAATTTACATTAATCAAATTTTTTATTTTTATAACGTTTTATTTTTTCAGATGACGAACGTTCGTCGAAGGAACAGGATGCATTGGCGACGTTATGCATAACAGACGTCGACACGACATTGCATTATGTTAATCAGTGGGTGCAAAGGTACGTTAACTCATTCAATCTTTTGTCATCTTTCATTTTTTCTTACAAAGATAAAATTCCCAAAATGAAAACTGCTATTGCTGTACAATGCGATGAAACTTTTATTTGACGGGTGTAGTTACTTTCTATGTATAGAAATTGTATTGAAATTTAATTTGTTATACAAAAATAATTATCGAAATTTATTTAGTGATTTAACAATTATTATAACGTTTTTACATAAACAGTGAATGTTTTTGGCAAGTCGCTATAGTGATTTTTTGTAACAAAAGGGTTTAATTTTATAATCAAGTATATATATATATATATATAATATATATTTAGTTACAAAATATGATTACATTGTGATTTTTTTTCCAGACAATGTATGTGTTGTTATCGCGAGATTAAAAATTTTGATCGATTTATAAGGCTAACTCAAAGTATTGTACTCTGTACATTACAACAGTTACAAGTTATACAGCAAAATGAAGATGTCGCTAAGGAGACTGTTGAAGAAGGGAAGGAAGAGGAAGAGAAAAATAGTAAACGAAAATCCAGCGACAACACAGAGCATGCACAAGTGGAAGCTCAGACAAAACAGATATGGTCACAAAGATTATTTCATCTTCTCTCGAAAATATTTTTATTAAATTTTCCTCTTTATATCGCTATGAAGCACGGCGGTGTAATTAATCCTTTAGCTCCCGTCAAGGTAAGACTTGTGTGCGATTTATGTCACACGTTTGCAGATTGCATTTTTCTTGATTACATATAACACTGAATCATTTTATAATCGGCAGGACGAAGGTGGTTACTGTGAACCGCACGATCCCGAAGTACCGGCGCCTTTGATCCGCGCTGTATCTATATTTTGCCATCAAGGAGGCTTTAATTTGATGTCCGCTTGTTTTGATATGGAAAGCACACTGCCTGTTAGCCTTGCGCATTCTATGGTTGCAGTTATTTGTAATCTCAAACTTTGGTTAAACTACGGTAGCGTCATCCAACTATTTATACCATTACGCAGTCGTGTTATGAAGTATATGTGCCGTTTAGGGGACAAGGAATTGCGTACTCCTGCTGTTAGAACAATGGCAGGTATGTTTATGAAATAAGAAGAAATGCAGACTAACACACGATTTGCATTCGCGCACAGATATACAAACTTATTTTTATTTAAATCGCAATAATATTTTTTCATGCATTTTTTTAGATTTTATGTGGAGCGCGGTGAAAGATCCAATAGACGCTGTATTACCGAGCTTCGATCGCGATGGGCTCGACTTGGCATTTAAATACTTTACTAGTACAACTTTGACTATGAGGCTGGCTGGTGTAGCTCAGATAAACGCTCATATCACCGCTTCTAATGAGCTCTGCAATAGCGAGACCGTTGCCGAGGTTGAACAAGTGGGACACGCGCTTGCCGCTTGGTTGACCGAGAACAACATCATAGCTCATATATTCGGACCAAACTTACACGTAGAGGTTATTAAGCAGAGTCACATTATATTAAGCTTTTTAGCTATGGAGGGTAGAATTACGTCCTCGGACATGGACACTATGTGGCAAGCCGCGCAGTTGAAGCATTGCGGCCGACCGGTTTATGACCTGTTGGCACCTTTGGTCAAACATCTGGCTCCTACTCCCGTACTTCATCTATACTCTTTACTAGGCAAACTAGAACCTAAGGATCATACAGAGCAAAGTCTGTTCTTAGCGTCTGCTTTGATCAAGTTTATCTGGACGTCTGGTCGTTCGGCTTATCCCAGGGGTTTAGTGATGAAGAACAGAGAGATTTTGAGGAGCAACAGTGGAGTCGGTGGAAGTAGCAGCAGCGATCCGAGCGGTATGGACGGTAGTAGTCCAGAAGACGATGAGGAGGAGCCTAGTCCGACATTGTCCGATGGACCGTCGCCTAGAAAACAAGCAAGGGCCGATAGTAGCGATGGTGAAGGTACGTAAGTGTTTAGATTAAACGTTTAATATTGTTTATGCATCTGTTGTATATTTGTAGGACATTATAAAGGAAAGAATCTGACGACCACCACCATTGAATCGAGTCTCAATGAAATCGAAGACCTGAATTCTGATAAATTTGATTGTAACAGAGAATTGCCTAAGGATTCATCGACGAGTGCTATTCGCGAGGAGATAAAGAACAAGCAGAGCGGATCTGATGCCGAAGCGGACACGGAGAAGTCTAATACGGAGGAGATGTTTGTACATGAGAAGAAAAAGCGAAAGATTCTTCGCAAGCGAAAGAGACCGCAGAAGCGCTCTTTGAGCGCCGTTGAGAAAACGCTGGAAGATATCGTCGGTCAAGACGACAATGTAAAATCGAAGGATTTGCTTGTAGATGCAAAAAGCAGAACGGAAGATGTATTGAACAGTAGTCTAGACGTGGGTGCTTTAACTTCCTTGGATGAACCGAAGAGCGTCGACGCGTTGGATCGCGTAAAGCAACAGGCGATAGCTTTGGACCCAAACGATCAGCAAGTTCCAACTACGGCGGCGCTGTTAAGACGCGCCAACAAGAATAAATACATGTCTATAGTGGGATACAATGTAGATCGAGCGGCTGACTCGGCGGACAGTTCACATGACGAGGACGATAGCGATGTAGCGGGCGTGCTCG